AACAGTTTTTTGAATACGGTGACGTCCTGCATACGACGACGATTGGGCGAATTTCGTAAGTTTTCAGAAACTTTGCAAGCCTCAGTTCATTAGAAAGATCACTTCGTTTGAGCGGAAACCCCCATGTTAATTATTTTCATCATAAGCCGAATCTTTAAGAGGGTCGAAAGGAGGTGATTTTGAGTATTTTTTTGCCTTAGATACGACTTCCGGTAGCTTTATTCCAAAGCAAATCCATAAATAGGAAATCAGTACATATGTGGAAATGTAAAAGGTCAAAAAGGTATATAAAACCGGTTAGGTGTGAAAAATCATGGGCTGCGGTACCGCTTCCGACCAAGCTAACGATCCCTTACAGCCAATTTTCTAAAAAATTTGGATCTAAACCGATCGCACCCACCGATTCCGCGACCTTTCTTCATCTACTACTAACCCCCCAGGGCGGGTCTAATCTGTCTCACCTTCCATCTCCTCGAGTTTCAGATCCAATTCCATTGTGTGCCGGAAACGGCAAGATGGTGGAATCCCGCAAAAAACAGCCCAAGGCAGTGAGGCAGAAGAAGGCTTTTCCCCTCTCCCGTCCCAGGGGCGGAAAAGAAAACGAGTCGTATGCAAATTGCCGTTTCTGCTTCTTTCCGTCCATACCCTATGCCGTAGGGGGTATAAAGGCAGATTCGAAAGTGAAGTCATGGCCGACCGGGGGGACAGCTCGTTTTCGAAAGTTATTCGGATCGGAGCTGACAACTCGTACGTATTTTATTAGGTTGGTCGGAAAGTAACTAGAATTTTTTTCGGAAATTTTTCTTTAATTATCTAGAGCGGAAAAAGACTAGCTGTAACCTACACCAGAAAGCCCTATGTGTCTGCTATTGACGCTAAAAAAATCTGGAGGATCCCACCTCTGTACTTGTATTTCTAACGATTTTCCTTGGAGCGCCCAAGAACCCGACGCGCGGACATCCGCGAGCCCCCAAACTTTTCGGCCGCAGAAATATTGAAAAAACGCCACTGCGCGAGAGGTGTTAAACATGGTGCAGTGCCAAGGGAAGCTCTTTCGAACCACCGTGCTGGATTCCGCATCGTAGTTTAATTTAGCGAATTTTCTAGTTTCTTTGAAACAAAAACTGATGACTGAGTGTTTCGGACTCGAAGCTTCGCATAAATTAGATGCCTAAATAATCTGCCGATGTAGGCCATGGATTCGAAGAAACACAGTAGTGGCAACATCATGCAATTGTCTAAAACCCGCATTGACTGAGGGTTTTTCAAAAATTTGAAAATTATTATAGGACTTAATGACCGAGCTTGAGACCCGAAGGTATCCTTGAACTTCTATTCTTTCTTTTTTTCTGCACAAGCCCAGAATTCTTTTTGTATTATGGTATGATAGCCTCTTGCCAGTGGGTACTGCCGGCAAAATATTATAACTCAAAACCTCAAGTGACTGGTCGAAAAATCATAACAGCGAACTGGGCCTAAAATCGTGATATCTTCCTCCTTTTTCCGAGATGTAAACCTTTTCCTCGGAAACCAGTTGTGTGTTCTATGCAGGGGCATCTAGGCCTTACTCGGTCGCAACGGCTTAAAAAATTACCCACGCGATTTGAATAAAACGGTCGAAGAAGGGAATACGGATTTTGGCGCCTCTAAACCCATATCGACATCTTTTTGGATCGACCTAGGAAAATTTAAAGAGGCCGAAGCCAGATTTCTAGTGTTGACCAGTCTGTAGTGCAAACTTTCCTCTACAAACTGACGCATTGGAAAAAATGGTTAGTCAGATCGGTGGGCGCAGTACTCTCGAAGACCAAAAACACAGAATTCACGTGATGCGCGTTCTTTGATCTCTAGCTCAGCACGTTTAAAGAGTTCGATGCTCATATTTTAACCCAAAATACTAGAACATATGACCTCCCACTCAGCAAAATATCGAGGCGAAACAATGCTTCTTTCCTTAAAATTTTCTGCCTCAAAAAGTTCTAGTTACTTTCCGACCAACCTAATATTTCTGAGCATGGCCTTTTCGTGGATCGCTTTTTAAAGGCAGCTGGGCACCTGGCTTTCCACACTTTACGGGTTAATTGAAATCGACTCCAATTCTGAACGTTTGACCCTCTTGTTGGACATTTCTCAAATCATCCCGCGGGGCAGCGAATGCGCCAAGGTGTACTTGTTTTTAAAATGGAAGCACGCAGTTTTTCGATTCACGCGTAGTTTTATTATTTCATAAATTCAAATTTTTTTAGATTTTGTACGTCTGGAATTTGATTTCCCAAACTTCTGAAGCATTTAATCACGGTTGAATCACGCCAAAAAGCCGCCAAAAAAAGCTTTCGGATTTTTTAGTTTTTCCGAAGTATATTAGCGTACCACCAAGCAAATTTTGTTCGTGATCAGTAGTTCTCAATCCAGAAATTGTTGACAAAAATACAAATTTTACGGTAAATTGGCATGTTAGAAGTTATGAAAATGCCAAAATCATATCAGTTCGAATCACCGACACGGCACAATTTTAGAAAGTTTTGAAAAACAGGAAAATAGCTCAAATTTGCTGATCAAGGGCGAAAGTCTAGCAAAAATAATCGAATCTCACTTTCCATCTCTGAATCGTATCATTCAAAGTTACCCAAAAAAGATTCAGGCTAAAAATCCGGTAGGAGAAACTTAAATTCACTTTTCATCCGAGAAGAGAATCGTATCGTCCCCTGACTCACCTCCCCTCAATCACCCACATGTCACAAATTCCGTACCGTATTCCCAGACCCATTTCCTTGCCCCCGGGGGGTTCTAGGCGTAATTTGTTATTCCGTAGTTGCTGTCTGTCTCTTGCCATGTGATGCCATTCCGTTGTGCCCCCGTTATCCAATAAGCTCCGCCTCCTCCTACTCTTAATATCTTTCCTCCTATTATTCGGAGCATACCAGCTGGAGATGAGGAGGAGCCGGAGGGGGACAGGAATATCTGCATATTGCTGTCATGTTGCCCTCCTCATCCTCATCCTCCTCATGCCACTCCTTCATCCCCCGGGAGGCCGGTCCTATCAGTCGTAGAGGAGCACCAACTACTTCCACTTATACCACTCGTAACAACGGCACACCGGCAGCGCTGCCACTGCCCGGAATCTCATTTGGAACAGTTACAGTATTTTCGGCTGAGCTCGGGCTTCAATTAGCCAATACTTAGGCCTAAGCCTCCGACTAAGACTGTAAGCGCGCGTAGTCGCTGCTCAGAATCTCATTTGTGACTGTTATAGGGGGTTGTTACAGGATCTCTTTCCAAAGCCTAACAAGTAAGCATGAATCTAAAACAAAGCCAAATTTTACGAAAAAGTCAATTTCAAGCGCTGCAATCAACATTACGGAAATGCCACCACTGTCATGATTTTTTTGGGAGTGCTATCGTATTTTTGCAGCAGCCGGAGCCCTGAGCCTGAGCCTTGGCCCAAACCTCAGCCGAATCGTAAGCCCAAACTTAAGACAAGCCTAAGCCTGAGCTCCTGAGCAATAACTGTTTTTCAGCCTCAAAAAAACGTGATATTAAAAATTAATTACCCTTTGAAGCTATTCGGCTCTTGTGCTGATTTTACAGGGAGCGTGGCAGCAGGCAGTTCCTGAAAAACTGGACCTTTTTCCGAGCAGGCGCTCGGTTCCCCTCTTACAGCTATTTACAAGTTCTATAAGGGCGAAAATCAACCCCTACTCCCGGCTAGATCTGACAGTTACGCAGCGCACCTATCCCCGGTCATGCTCATTTTATAAGTTTTAACAGAATTTTTCAATTTCCTCAGTATGGAGATGGGCTTCCTCGGCTCTTGTCGATTTGCGTGGATTTCCAGACCTAGCGCGGCTTTGAAGACTTGCGCCTCGCTACCGCTCGGCGTCTAGAATTCCAAAAATTCCGAGCAGACCGAGATCTGACGCTCCAGCCGCGGCTCGCTCCCATACATTCCACCCCACTACCCCTTAACAGGCAGCAAAGTGGCAGTTTGCACCCTCAGGCTGGTGGCTAGGTAAGACAAAACCTGACCAATCTCTACTGGGAAATCCCCACGTCGGAATGTGAGGTATCGAAGGGCATCTCTCTCTCTCTCTCTCTCTCGATCTCTCTCTCCGGCTCTGGACAATCCTTAGCCTTGGCTTCTGCCCAGGGGCTACAAGTATGACCGGGGATTTTCGAGCTTTTTGTCTCGTTCCACGGCTGCAAAGGAGGGGACCGGCCTGTTTTCAAACGATCCCCCTACCTTCCATCCTTCTACCCCTACGTAATGCACCTCGAAACACCTGATCCCTCGAAAACCCCGTAAACCCTGTGGGATTGGGCGATGGTCATTTTTGGACGATGCTTCGACAAGAACCGAAAAGAAGGAACGGTCTTTCCAGCTACGATTTTTTCGAGTGACGCTTCTGATTTTTCGGTTTCCGCGTTTCCTAAAATATCGGAAATCTTATTGATCGATTACATGTGTATTGAAACCTGCTTTGGTGGCTAATCCCATCCTGTATCTAGTATGCAACAAAGATACTTGCGCAGCAAATTCCTTGGCTTGAGTTGATTCAGGAATTTAGTTTACAAATTTATTTAATCTTAACCATTTGACAAAAGTTTTGATTTGGGTTATCACCGATACATTAAAAGTTCGGCTCCTTTTTTCAATCTGCAAGCCGTTATGCTCTCCATTTCCTGGAGTCACTTCACTCTTCCGGGAGCCCGACCTAAAAGGTCAACCACTTCCTCCTGGCCTCCAGAGTTTCCCCCAAAAAACCCGCTTCTCGAGTGGCTAAAAGCCCTATGCATATTTGATCACCTCCACGACCACGGGATTCTTGGGGTGGTACATAGAACAGTAGCCGGTTTGCTTGTTTCGTTGCTATGTCGTTTTTCGATTTTCGGATCCATTTCAAGTCCAATTCCTGTAACTGAATTCACCGAGCCCATTTTCTATTCATTTGAATGCTTTGAACGTCGTTTGCCAACCCATTAGATTTTTTTTCAGGGCGCAGATGAGCGACGAAAAGTCGCTGGAGAAGGATGCGGCCGCGTTCAGGAGGTCAGGGTTTGCATAAACACCATTTGGAAAATTCATTAAAATTAAGCCGATTCAGACATCAAGAATTGCTATTGCATCTGAAGATTCAAACGACCATAAAATCCTCTTCCAGGCTGGCCTTCATCGGTGTTAGTGTATCCACCGTATCAACACTCATCTGCGTACTAGCAGTCCCGTTATGTTATAGCTACCTTCAGCATTTACAGTCGATGATGCAGGTAAGAAGAGAGAGAGAGAGAGAGAGAGAGAGAGAGAGAGGGAGTAAAAACGAGAGTGCGGGAGATCGAAAAACGACATCCTAAGCACCATTTTTTAGTCAGAAGTCGATTTTTGCCGACAGCGCTCCTCGAATATTTGGCGGGAGGTGACGAAGACGCAGGTATGTATGACAGTCTGCCCCTTATTTAAGTGGATTTCAGGAAAAAAAATTTGGTAATTATAACCCATTTCCAGGTACTTGCCCAAGTCGCCGGTGGGAGAATAAAGAGGCAATCGGGTTACGAGACTCAATCGCTCGGAGTTGAGGGCTCTTTTGGACCCGTTCAAGGTGAGTCCGAACCCAGAATTTGTAATCAGGCCTGGCGGAATTGGAAGGTCATTTCGCAAAACTCGTAATTAAACCCTCTAGAATTTTTATACCTGACTTATCGACTTCAGTTCTAAAAGTTAAAGGGCAGCGCTTGAACTGCTAAGGAATTGCCTGCCATTTTGTGTGAAAACATCCCCAGTACCCGGCCAATTCTGGTCTCTGTGCAGCGCTCGGCGCAATCTAGAAATTTTCGACAAGCTCAGAATGCGAGAATACCGCAAAAGAGTAGTCTGCGCTTGATTCCTAGGCGAGGCGCGTAGGGCTTCATGGGTCTGAAGTTTCTAAGCGTTTAAAATTGGTTGTAAAAGTGAAGCACTCGTGAATGATATAGTACGAAAAATAAAGTTATAAAAGCATGGAAGTAATATGCATAATAAGTACATAATCGTAATCTAAAGATTAAGTATCCAAAATAATATTAGTCTAATTAGCAATGGCGTGGGGCACAAAACTTCGTATCTGGGAAAGCCAGACCTCCATTAAAATTTGAAAGATTAGATAATCCTTGGAAATAACGAACTGCATTCTGGTTTTTGTAGTGTTCTGTAAACTACCTTTTCTGCTGACCCCCCAGTCCAATTTTTCCATCATCCACCCTCCCGGCTCCCCCGCACAAAAACAATCACTTCCTCATAATGGGCATCGAAAGGTGATAGTGAAAAGAGAAACTGATGTGATCGGCTGGGGTGAGACGAGGCAGACCGGGGAGGGCGGCTTCTCTTTTTGCCCCCGGCTTCACCCTCTCTTTTTGTGGTAGTGAGGGCATGACAATGGTCGACCTCTCCCAGCCACACTTCAGTTATCAAGTCCTGCCCTCCAGTTACCGGCAAAAAGCCATAGTTTTGGTCAAAATCGAAGCGGAAGCGCCGCTGGGTGGGCAGTCAAGGTCGAGATAGCAGTTGATTATTTGCCCGGTCAGCTAATTAAGGCTAAAACATAGTTTCTAGAGCTAGATAAATAGCTAAATTTTATCAAAATTAGCCATTAGAAACAATAGAAAATTACATCATTAAATCAAACTAAAATTAAACTAAAAATATCAATAATTCGGAAGATCCCTTTAGTCGGGGATTCACCGTTTTTCCTTATAATAAAAATTACATTTTCCTTTCGTTTTTGTCTCTCTCTCCTAAAAAAATATTCAAACAGAGAAAGGAAATCGCATTTTTCAAGACAAAAAGCAAAATTGAGATCCGGACAACATTTTTTCACCAATTGCCATTGTTTTCTCAATATGGGAAATTTGTTCTTTGTCCCTAAAATCCTTTTCCTAACCTATTTTAGTGGGGCCCTCCAAGCGTATGCATGAGATTGGTAAGACAAGATCGAATTTTTTTTGAAGCATGACCAGATTTTCAATTTTACGATTTTTTTTTACATTTCTTTGAAAGATTTCTAGGTTCTCTTAATTGCTTTAAATAAGGTTGTTTTAAAGACAATCGCGTGACTTTCAACCGACTTTTTCGGGGTTCGGCGAATACCCTCATTTTTGTAATTTCAGGCGCATGCTGTGGCTGCGGAGTATCGCCTATGGGACCACCTGGACTCCCTGGCCCGGATGGTCGTGATGGAGAGGACGGAGCGCCTGGATTCCCTGGGAAGAATGGACCTCCTGGACTTGAGGCTCCTCCACCACCGAGCTTGGTAAGAGAGAGAGAGGGGGAGAGAGAGAGAGAGAGAGAGAGAGAGGGCGGCGTGACAGAGAGGGGGTGGAGAGATGAGGGGGAGCGAGAAAGGAGAGGGGGGAGGGGGGGGGGGGGGGGCAAAAGAGTTTGGGAGAGCGAGAGAATATTGAGAATACTTAGAGATATTGAGTGATAGCGGAAAAGGATGAGTCAGATTTTCATGTGAATCACCTTAAGATATATTTAATTTACTCTTTACCGTAATTTCCTTTTTTCAGGACTGGTGCTTCGAATGCCCCGACGCCCCAGCTGGTCCTCAAGGCCGCCCCGGACCCAAGGGATACCCAGGTGGCCCCGGAATTCCTGGAGCACCAGGATCACCCGCTAAATCTGGACCTCGCGGAGGCCAAGGGCCGATCGGTCCCCCAGGGACCCCCGGTCTCCCCGGCTCCCGAGGCCAACCTGGTGCTCCCGGCGTCCTCAGCGAGGTCCCCGGCCCTGATGGAGCCCCAGGAAGACCTGGAACTCCTGGCGCACCAGGCCCTGACGGATTCCCAGGAGCTTCTGGGAAGCCTGGGCTTGACGGCCAGCCCGGAGAGATTGGAAACTTGGGCGCCCCGGGAGCACCAGGTAAGCCGGGCGGCCCTGGAGGACGAGGACCCGATGGTGTCGCTGGGAATGCTGGTGGATGCTCACATTGCCCGCCACCGAGAACTGCGCCTGGATACTAATTACATCTGCTACATCCAAATCCACCTACGAATTTCTGTATACAATCAAGTGCATTTTCCCCAAAAAATATACCAGAGCTGTCGTGTCCGTGATTATTTTTGTGGTAATAAAGGTCTTTCCGGAAATGGTTTTAACATGGTAAAAACAGTACAAGAATTTTTGAGGTTTTTAATGCTGATCTGCCAGTAAACTTTTAAATTTTAAAACGAAAATAATCGAAAGTGTAATGTCTTATGGTTGTATTAAATAATAATTTCCTAACCAATCCCTCCTCGAACAAACCGGATTTACCTCTACCCCTCCCTATGATTTTCGATATTCCGAGCTTCGAAGTCTGCTTTTTTTCTTTGGGTTATTTATCAAACATATATTTTCAAAAAAAAAAAAATCTAATTTTGGAATAAGTCAAAAAACGAAGTCCGATTTGCTAATTTTCCTGTTGAAAACGGTTTTTCACGGCTTTGAACGGCCGGCATTCCGCGTCTCCGCACAGCGCCAAATCGCTCTCCGTAGGTTTCAAATAATTTTGTATCCAACATTCGCGAAGTCCTTAAAAAGGCCGGCTAGTCCCTTTAAAATGTCCTCATCACTAGCTGTTCCTAATACCCCTTCACTACGACGAACATCCTGTAAAGCGGCATCTTTCGGTTTTCCCGAGCCCCCATGTCCTTCTCAACACAAAAAGGGTGAAAGCCGATGTGAACTTGGGAACATCATCCACCCCCCTTCCCCCTAAAGATGCTCCGGCATGCGAAGGTCACGATTTAGGAAATGGCCGTTTAGCTGGGAAGGTGGAGGGCTTAAATTAAGGGTCTACGTCGGTTTTTGCTGTCGTAGCGTTTGAGGTTCCACTTGAAGTTTTTATAGCGTATTGAAGCAGAAGGTTTGATTTTTTTAATGCGACTGGAGCGAAACTAGATAGACGAGCTGGCTGTGGCATAACCAACCGTTTCACGCACAAAAAGTGCGAGGTAATATGAGGTAAGTCGAGGTGAAAGAGCGAAAGAGAGAGAGAGAGAGAGAGAGAGAGAGAGCCAGATAGACAGCCAGATAGAGAGCCAGAGAGATTTAGAGAGAGTCAGAGAGGGGGAGGGGAAAGAGAGAGGGGGGAGAGAAAGAGAGAGATAGCTTAAAGCAATCAAGGAAAAAATACGCAAAAAATGATTAAGCATTAGATTAATTTTTGATTAAATACCTACGATTTACAGCAACAGTAGTATAACATAAGCTTCGAAGCCAGAGTACTGTAAAATCCAAATTGATCAGATGAAACGATCTCTGAAACACAAGGCAAAGGTGACAACACAGTTCTCTCTCCAGGGAACTACCGTGATGGACCCATTCTGCCTCTTTTTTTCTGGTTTCTCTGCTGTTTTCTGACCATTGTGCCCATTTCTGCCCCTGCGGCAGCCCTAGAATCTTTGCATCCCTTCACAGCCCTTCACAACAAGTACAAATTCAGCTCCAAAAAATTACATTACCGGCTGGTACAGTACCAGGGCGGTGGATTTTGTACCACTCGCCTTGGTACACGGTTCCAATTCTGCAATAACGATATAATTTTTGCATTTTTTGTGTATTTACTGCATTGGGTCCCGCCACGCCCCCAAACTCATGTTGAGAAGAGGAAAGCGGGCTACGGTAGTCCCGCACTGGCGATTTTTCTGTTCGAGACCCCGCCCCCAAACGTCAACAAGTACTAATCCGGGCATACTAAACCCATTCTTGTACCTCTAGAGGTGTACTGCGTACCAGAAGGAGCGGTACGGTGCTGCAAACAAGTACAAAATGGAACACAGTAGGACACAACATATGCATTTTTGCGTATGATTGCCACTGGAACCGCCCCGCCCACCGTCCGTGCCAACGATTCGGGATTTGGTACAAGGCATAAAACGGCAGAATATGACCGCCGTGACCCAATAATCTACTTTTTTTGCTGCTTGCCGCTCAAAAGTATACCGCGGGCCTCAACAAGTACAAACCCGTGCACGCTAAACTCATTTTTGTACTTCACGGGGCGTACCGCGTACCAGAAGAAGTGGTACAGGGTCCCGAATCTGCAAAACACGCGCGCGATAACACAATTCGTGCGTTATTTACCGACTAGGATCTAGCCACCGACTGTTTTTTTGCCGAGCAGCGCAAGAAGTTCGGATTTGTCGGACTGGTGCAATATACATACAGAGTGAGATGACCGCACGCTTCCCATATTTCAGGAATGATCACACCCGGCATCGTATAAAGTCTCGGGAACCGCGAAAACTTAGCGTGTTTTCCAAATTTAGCAAGGTAACGTGTGTGAACGCGGGAATACGGTAGCTATACTCACGTCTTTTGCAAACTGTCCATAACTCCCACGAAGAGGATCATAGCAAGCTATCCGACATATAAGAAGTGGTACTGTACCAAAGGATGTAGTGTATTTTCATAACCCCCATTCCATGTGGCTCCTCTTTCCAGTCACGCATAAATTGCATGCTAGCGGGGCTCCTAAGCTGTAATTAGGGCCAATAGCGGCCCTGGTACATCGGCCACGCCCAGGATTACGGCCCAGAAGTGCAGAAAGTACGGGTATCCATGCGGCCAGGAAAACTGCAAAATAGAGGCTACCGTAATCGCATGCTTGCCTTTTTTGCGGTTTTCCTGCCTTGATACCACCAAGAGCCTCAAGAAGTACAGATGGCGATTCTCTAAAAAGTGGTACTGTACCAGCCAATGCACCCCATTTTTAATACGGCGGTCCAGAAAGCGTACCACTCTGCAAAACTGCGCGACTACCAAGTTGTTTTACATGGTTCTGGCCCCTCATTGGTCCCGCGACGCCCCTCATTTAGGGCCTCGAGCTCAGCAAGGGCGGATGGCTGTGGTTAGAACGACCCAGCAAACTGCAGAAGACAGCTACCGTAGCCGCAAAACCCCCTTGCCCCGTTTTCTTGCTAACGGTCACGCCCAGCATCGTATCGGGGAAGTTGAACATGGTTAAAAAGTGGTAATGTACCAGGAGTACCAAGAATATTCTACCAAACTGCTGTTTTAACAATTCTCACGCAAGACCAGAATCCAATATCGTTGCAACCTATTTTCCGCATTTCGGTCAAGCCACGCCCACAATACCGGGCCGTCAAACTCAAGAAGTGCGGATAATGCAGATTGGTACATTGCGGGAAAGGCAGTTACCGTAGCCCATTCTGGCTTTTCTGGTATATTCAGGCTTAAAACCCCGCCCAGATTCGTATCGAGTACGAAGAATGCGAATCCGGAACTAAAGTGGTACTGTACCAGCAGCACCAAAAATCCTCTACTAGATTCCCATCTTGCAAATTCTCACGCAGAACCAAAACCCACCCATTCATTTTCCATGTTATTTTCCGCGTTTGTTCAGGCCACGCCTCCAAGCAGGCCGTCAGGTTCAAGAAGGGGAAGAAGAGAACGAATCGGTGTCCCTAAAAGTGGTACTGTACCAGGGGATGTACCGGAAATTGTAGTACACCGGACTGGACTCCGATTGTCGAAAAAAGGGCGTCCCCTGCAATGCTCAGTCCTGCCCTAATTCACGTGCAAATCCTATTCTCTCCCCGGGCTACAAAACACGTGAAGGGAAGTACGAATGGGTAGATACTATACTTCTCCGCCCACCCTGGGTGGGCCCCTCTCAGGGGGACAGAGGGGGACTGAAAGGGGGATGGTGGGGGGCCCCCCGGGGGGACCCTTCGGGGGGATCCGAATTTCGCTATGCCGAATTTTCACTATGCCTAATTTTCACTTTACCGAATTTTCGCTATGCCGAATTTCGCTATGCCGAATTTTTGCTACTCTACTACTAATATTCTCTACTAATATTAATAACTAAGATCGGCTGGGACTTTGCGGTGCAACAGAAAATCTGCTGCGCCTACGGGACCCACGATCTGCCTGCGTTTTTGGAAACTTCTAGACTAACTCTAACTTTCTAGGCCCATCTATTTGGAAAAAAACAGTAAAAAAAATTGGGAACATACCGCTTATCAAAATTGGTATGGCGAAGATTCGGCATGGTGAAAATTCGGTATACCAAAAATTCGGCATAGCGAAATTCGGTATAGCGAAAATTCGGTATAGTAAAAATTCGGTATAGCGAATGGAACTCGTAGATGCCATACCTTCATGCCTCAGGGGGGTAGGGGGCACGGTCATCGCGGGGGAGGTCCCCCGGTTCACCGGGGCCCCCCTATCATCCCTCTCAGTCCCCCCTCTGTCCCCCCTAGGGGGGGCCCACCCAGGGTGGGCGGAGAAGTATAGTAGATACGATCTTAGGCCGCAACGTATCAAAAGAAATTAAACCGTAGATACCGTTTAAGGTAGCTTATTTTCTGTAAAGCCTAGCGACTTTCCATTACCAAAATGTTTTTTTCTAAGTTTTTGACGACTTTATCAGTCGTCAGTCTTCAATCTTTCTAAAATGCTGTGCAAAAAAATATTAATGGCTTTTTTACTAATGCAACGGATCTGGCAAACTCGATTAGTCACGCTAGCTGAAACGCATTACGACTTTGAATTCCGACGTGTTAGACAATAGATTTTTCAAATAATTTTTGGAGGCTGGTTATTTTCAATTTTCTGATCAATCCAATCGATCGAACGCGGTGATTCAACGCTTTTTTGACACATCCATATAGAGGAGCTACGAATTACCAGGGTTTTTTTTGAAGGCATGGTGATGCACCAGAATCAACCGTCGTGCCCGACTAGGTGTTGACAGCTATGTTACAGTACGAATGAACTGCCAGGGCTGTTTTTAATGAGCATAGCAGATCGTGTTGGCGGAAAACTGTATTGTAAACTCTAGCATTATTTGAACCAGAATTTAATCACAACAGCCCTTTCACAAGGCGATTTTCTTACATTCTAACACCTTTAATCCTATCTTTGTAAATCCCTACCTCAGCTTTTCTCATATATAACCCCCATCTCTGATCGTTCAGCTGTCACAAAGCATCCAATCCTCCCTGCTGCC